ATATTTAAAAAACTAAAAGTATAAATTCCAGTTGACCTACCTACCCTATACCTAACTTGAGTATCTTCCTGAGAGTTAAATCTAAATTATGGAAGCAGTTTATCAACAGGTGAGGAATGGATAGAGAAAATGTAAATATATACAATGGAGCATAACCTCTGCCATATGCAAGGGTAATTTGAATCATTTGTAGGAAAAGGGATGGATCTTGAGACCATAATGATAAGTGACATAAATGAGACACAGAAGATTAAACATCTCAGGAGTTTCTTTTAAATGTGAAACATAAAAGGTAAATAAGAACAAAATAAAAACAGTGAGGTAAACTACATGGAAATGGAGGTGATTTGAGCAACAGGGGAGAGGAGCAGGCCAGGAAAGAAGCAAAACTGACTAGGATGTCACGCAGATATGTGACCATCCCCCAAGAGGAATACGATTGTCACATGCTGCAAACATGCACCCATAAAAACGTAACTCTATGCATAAGACACTTGCCTACTTTCAGAAAGCAAAACGTATTTGTAAATAGCAAAGGACGTGGCGGGAAAGATTTCTGGCCTCAGCTCACCTGACACTTGTAAGGCAGACAGGGCCCCGTTGGAGGCAGCTGCCACACGAGCCCACTCCTGCTGTCGCAGTGGGCTTAGCAGCACCCCTAGCCTTTGGGAAGCATGGCAGCACTGCTGGGGTGCCCGAAGATATCTCCAGACACTGACAGGTACTGGGGGCATGTTTGCCCTCCTTTGTTTTAAACAGTTCGCATTTTCACTCCCTTCAGTTTAGAGAGTTGAGATTTAGTGGGGATACACAAACAATTTTCAGTTATTTAATTCACAAGTAATGAATTACTTAAAAAAATGTATTTAGCACAGGGTCTACAGGGTGTTCAGGGTCTCACTACACATCGGACTCATAATGATTCTCCTGTTTTTCAGCCTCCCAAGTGCTGGGATTACAGGCACGTTCCACCTCGCCCAGTCTCAGTCACTGGCTCATCGCACCCTGAAAGCAGGGTGGGCACCCCAGCCCCTGTGTCTGCCTAAGCAGGCCCACTAGTCCGCTGAGCTATCTGGCCAGCCCTATGAATCACTTTCTTGATATTATATAACGTTGACTTTTGTAACTCAACACTCACAAGTGCCATGTCAGCAGCGATACTGTTTCCAACACTGGCATTCACTGAATATATTTCCATCCTTTCAAAGCTCATAAAATGTAGGGTTTCAGAGAAGAGCCTCTGGGATAGGGGCCAAAGGTAGGCCAAGCTCAGGAAAGATAACACTGGTGCTGTCATAAATGCAGGACCATAATAATTATACAATTCTGAACCTGCGAGGAGTAGAGTGAAGCACACTGATTTTGGGAGGCTCATTAATTATATTAATCAAACCCATCAACTTCATGGATTTCTGAAGGTCATTTTTCCAGTCTTGTCATTTTCTTATTTCAAATTGAATCATGGTAATGTACAAATGTTACCCTGGGAAGAGGCCCTCACAAGTGTAATCTTCCTTCCAGAGGTTTTCCTACTTATCAGGAGGGAAGCCCACCTGCCTCCGCCTGCAAGATCACAGGTGGTCGCTGTCCCTTCTCACTCTCCCCTCCTTTGCCCTCCAGCCCCACTGTGCCCGAAGGCTGGGGGCCT